TGTGTGTGTGTGTGTGTGTGTGTGTGTGTGTGTGTGTGCGTGCTAGTACGTTTCTCTGGTAAGAGAAGGTCACACAAACTAATATCAAACAGAATATCTAGCTTCAGAGGATCAAACAGAAAAACATGCAATCATTCCGATTGATTTTAGCAGTGGGTGTGGGATTGACTTTTTTTTGTTATAGATATAAGATGAATGAAATTCATACTTTAATGTGAGTTGCTCTCACAGTGAAATCACACATGTGGGTCAGTGATCAAGCCTGTAGAAAGAGATACATTTAGGAGGTTTCAAGGCGTAGTGCCGTGTTGCTCCTCACTAATCTAAGAGCATCTAAAAGCATCTTTTGTGAAACGTGACCACATGTCGTAGCAGCCTTCAGTTAGATTTAAATGTGTGTGAGATGCAGACGAACACAAACGCACACATGCCGCCTGCGGTTCGTCTTAACGACTGCAATCAAGTGTAATCAAAGCGATCCGTCTCGATCTGTGTGCTCCACGGCTCGCACTACATGCAGAAAGCGGCCGTTTGAATCCGCTTCAGGCCACACACGGTTTGCCCTCAGCTGGAACAGGAAGCTAAATAAAATGCTCCAGCTGTACCGAAACAGAGTCGCATGGAGTCACTCTGATTCCCTTAAATGGAAGATTGTTTTGCATTGTTTAAAGACGATTCGTTCAAATATTTAACTGCATCCTGCTGGGACGTGTATCCACTAAGGGAGGAATGCTCTCTTATCAACAAGTGTTGCGTGAGTCTATTTGATGTTTTGGTGGTTTTTCTTCCTGCTGAGGCCAAACACGCACAAAGACACGTTAGGAGGTTAAATAAGAGGAGTTTAAAAGCACAACATGTTTCTGCTAGGATGGACTTTCTGGATCACGTTTGTATTTGGCAGTGAAGGAATTTAAATGACAAATAAATTTGAGCTACTTTACTTCTGTATTTTGTCCTCATGCCACTTTATACTTTTACTCTCAGATGGAAATAACTCCACAAAATGTATCTGACAGATTTAGCTACTTTACAGATTAGATTTTACAGCTGAAAAGTTGATAAATCAATGGCACCGAATTTAATGGTGTTGTCGACGTTTCACTTAAACACAGCCATGTGAACGTTTATGGTCACCAGGGTTCATCCTCTTGGAAACATGAATGTCATTCCATCCGGTAGATGTTGAGATCAAAGTGGACCAATCCAACACTTTGCCGTCACCAGAGCCTCTCCGCTAGCGTCGTTAAAACAACATTATATCGGCCCCACAGATCAATAGAGTGACATGTGAGTGTAACCAGTTTACAGTGTGACACTGGAGCTGATGATTGACAGCTGCTGTCTCCCCTCAGGACCAATGAACAGCTGGTGGCTTTTCTGTCCAAGTACCGCAACATGAACTTCATCAAATCTCACGGCAGAGACAACGCACGGTAAGAGAGAGAGTCTGTCGCTCTCTGTGTCTCTCTTTTCTCCTCCTTTATGTTTGTTTTCCTCTGAGGGTGGTCCTCTTGTAAGGGAATAAAGTGAGGGATTAACAAAGTTCTTCCTCTTCTTCTCCTTGTTCTACTTCCTCTTCTTCTTCTTCTATTTTATCTTAGTCCACGTCTTCTTCTTCTTCTCCCTCCTCCTTTACTTTTTCTCTATTCTCTTCTTATTAAAGTTCTTCCTCTTTTTCTTCATCCTCCTCTCCTTCCTCTTCTTCTCCTCCTTCTTGTTCCTCCTCTTCTTCCTCCTCAGTACAGTATTTTTCAGATAGTATCACCGTTCCCGTGAGTGAGTAGTTTAATAAAAACAATAGTAGTTTAACTTAGATTTGAGCAGATTTCAGTCGTTATCATGAAGTCGGTGAATATTTAAAAAAGTAAAGTTGTTGAAAAAAGAAAATGCAAGAAATACAGATTTCTTGGTTAGTCCTGTTAAAAGACATTGTTAAGACATTGTTTCTTCTTAAATCTATGTCTGACTTCTCAAACAATATTCTATAATTTAGTTTTATCAAACTTTAATCACCGGTTTAGTCACAAAGACACTCACAGGCTTAGAGGAGGATCAGTGTCTGAATAGTGAGATGTCTAGTGATATTTATCAGTACAGAGTACAGTAGTGATATTTATCGGTGTATAGTACACAGTATGCACAGTAGTACACATCTCTCTTTACAGTACGACAGTAAAAGCATCTGAGGTAGAAGTATGTATGCAGTAATCAGCTGATCTCTGGATGCCGTGTGTCCTCTCAGCTTCATCCGTAAACAGGGTCTGGACCGACTCTTCTACGAGTGCGACACCCACATGTGGCGTCTCGGGGACCGCAAGATCCCCGAGGGCATTGCGGTGGACGGAGGCTCTGATTGGTTCCTGCTCAACCGGCCCTTTGTGGACTATGTGGTCAACTCCCGGGACGAGCTGGTCGGCAGCATGAAGCGCTTCTACGCCTACACACTGCTGCCTGCCGAGGTAGCGCGCACGCACGCACGCACGCACACACACACACACACACACACACACACACACACACACACACACAC